TTATTACATTAACAGTTTGTTCTGAGAATTGAATAAATATTGACTTGAAATTTATATCTCTCTGCTGCCCACTCTCAAAATGGCTTCTCCTGCCTGCCATTGGCATAATATATGGCCAGAGAATAAACTTGCTTTTTATGAATTTTTGTTTTGTTGGATATAAACGTATTTATATGTCTGCTCTTTAGGCATAGGCACAGATTATCACCTACGGGTTAATAAACAAATAAAATATAATAATGTGCTCATGCAGAATGTCTTTGCTTTGTCTGCGCTGTCAAGGCTTCTATTGAGATTTGTGGCAAAAGTATGGCATAGTTATGTACGCCCTCTTGATATTCCGAGTTTATTGTTCGCCTGTGTCGTATACACTGAATGCGTGTATTTGAGAGTTGTTTTTTTGTGAACTCGCTGGGCTTAAAAAAATATACGCTTTATCTGGTCTGGCTGCATGAAATTTGCGCCACATTAGAGCGGCCTAATTGCGGCGTCAGCCACCCAAGAGAAAGAAAAACAACGCCAAGGCGAGCTGCGTCGACTCAAGTCTGTTGCTGTTGTTGTTGCTGCTGTCTATATGGAGCAATATAAAAATGGTCGCATTTTTATTATGCCAGTGACCTTGCCAACTGGCAGCGGAGATAATAAAGCGCCTTCTCGAATATCAAGTGAATTAAAGTTGATTTCGAGCGAGTGACAACTTTTCACATGCGAAACTTGCGCAGTTAGCCCTTCGCTTAACCTTGCCAATTAGTTTGAAATATAGAGCCAAGGATGCTGCCATTTGAAATATATCGCAGCGAACAACGAAATTGCCAATAAATAGCTAAGGAAGGAATATTTTTGTGCCCCAACCTCGCCTCCCGGAATGCCCCACAATAATCTAGAAACGGCGCGCCGAGTCTTTGACTTGGGCAACGCCCCGCCCAGCCTCGCCTTGCCGTTGGCTGCCTGTGGCCAGTGAAGATAAATGATGTTATCGAAGTTTGTAGCAAATTCCTGAGATCTTATACACATACATATATATATCTGTGTGTGTGTGTGTGTGTGTGTGTGTGCTGTCAGTGCTGCCACCTGACTTTTTGCAATTGTCTGTCCGAAGAGTGTGAACTAACGTGACTTTCAAGTCGTTTTTCACGTCGCTTTCCCCCGCATCATAATTATGTGCTTGAAAAAAATGCAATTAATTTTTATTGTGGATTAAGGTGCCATGTTTGCATTGCTATCCACATGCCGCACATACGTATATCACATCTCTCGGCCACGCCCCCTGGCATTTTTGCAAGTCAACAGACACACACACACACACACACGTGGCGTCACATGAAATTTATCGAGCCAGACTAGAACATATATCAGGCGCATTTGTCAGCTCCCGCAGTTGTTCGTTTTTTTTCTTCTTTTTTTTGGCTGGATCTGGTTCTGCCAATGACTCCAATTGAACTCTCTGATTATTGATTTCCAGCACAGCAGTATGCATGTGTGTGTGCTGTTGTAATTTTGGCAATTTAAATGTCATTAAAAACAATCTAGGAAAAAGTCGCAAACGATGTGCGAAAGATCTGGATGTGGGAATGTTCAAGTATTTATGCAATTTGTGGCAGCTGCTTGAACAATCAGGGCAACAGCAATAACGCTAACGGCAAACACACACACACACACGCATAACTGCGACAACGATATGTGCGCAGCAACAAAAACCTCTGTTGGGTTTTCAATTAAATTGCAAAATCAATTTTCACCGAAATTACCATATTTACATTTTCGCATTACGCATTTGCATATTTGTAATGCCAGCCAGCCGGCTGGGGGTCCTGGAGATTTACATAGGTCAACAGGTGCAAGAAGGTAAATTGCTGCAAATTAAAATCAGATAAGATATAATGACTTACACAAAGCACACTCACACACTCATACACTCACACACCACTCAGGCAAGTTCCACGTGTCATATAGGCAGGTGTGCCAAAGATCTCTGGCTCATATTCCGTCAGGAGCAGGCGAATTGGCTATACAAAGCGAAGCCACACAAACCAGTTGGGGCGGCGGGCCACTCTCTTTGAACTACAAACGCCACAGTGAGACCCAAAGTCAGCATGTTGGCATTTCAGTAGGCACGTGCAGCACACTCACAGGCATAAGGAGACGCACACACGTATAGGTGTGAGTGCGAGTGCGAGTGCGAGTGCGAGTATGTTGAATACTTGTGCCAAATATGCCGATAATTACATTTGGAAAAATTGTTTCCTTTACTGCACGACTCATGGGAGTGGGGCAACAAGTGCGAGGGAAGTTATGAAAATAGCTGAAATTAGTGCCACACTTTCTATACCAAACGACTTGTATATCAAATACTTTGGCATTACTGGAAATGCTGCAAAAGTGTTAA